TCCCAAAGAAAACAAATCCGCAATATCCAATAGATTTTCGACCAATTTCCCTTCTTTGCTCTTCGTCAAAAATACTTGAAAAAATAATCGCAAATGAGCTTCAATCATTTATTGAATCCAATAAAATTTTGCCTCCATGTCAGCATGGTTTTCGTAAATCTCACTCAGTCTCAACACAATTACTCGAAGTAATGGATGACTTCACTTATGCCTTGGAGAATAAAAATTCCATTGATACAATTTATTTTGATTTAGCTAAGGCCTTTGACACGGTTCCTCATTCACTTCTACTCTCAAAACTTTATAAAATGGGAATCCAAGGAAATATTCTTTCTTGGATAAATGATTATTTATCAAATCGTACATTTACTGTGCGGGTATCTAATCATTATTCCGAGGAAAAACACTGCACCAGCGGTGTACCTCAAGGATCCATACTAGGGCCGCTACTATTCATTACTTTTATATCTGATCTCCCAACGTATTGTGCCACACCAGGAATAACTCTGAAACTTTTTGCTGATGACCTCAAAGCTTATAATATTTTTAAAAATAGAGTTAATGAGTCTCCTCTCCAAATTTTTGTAAATAAATTTTCAGAGTATTGCCATCTTAACGGCCTTAAAATTGCCATAGAAAAATGTTCAGTTTTATATTTAGGAAACTCTAACCCATCAACTAAATATTTTATTAATGACATTGTCATCCATCAGATTTCTTCAGAGGATTCAGTCCGGGACCTGGGCATACATTTCTCTCACGATCTCAAATGGGATAAGCATATCAATATAATCACTCGTAAAGCAATCAGATGCTCATATTCCATTTTCAAATCTATTAAAAGTAGGAATCCAAAAATCCTTACAAACCTATTTAATATTTATGTCCGTCCTATTTTAGAGTTCTCCTCGTCTGTCTTTAATCCACATCTTGATAAAGATATTAAATCAATTGAAAAAGTCCAAAAGGATTTTCTCCGCTGGGTTTTTAGACGTATTAATCCTAAAACCGAATTACCTGAATATCATGACTTACTATATTATTTTAAACAAGAATCGCTATTTTATAGACGTATTAAAGCCGATCTCAATTTATTCCATCAACATGTTTGTGGGACTATAACAATTAAAAACAATAACTCATATTTTATCAGTAAAGCCAATACCAGGGGGTTCCAAAACATTATAACTATAGCATGTAATACAAAAGCCAGATTCCACTCCTTTTTCGTTAGGACTGCTCGGTTATATAAATTTATTCCTCAACATATGCGCAATTCAACCCCCGAACACTTTAGTCGACTTCTAGTCACTTTTGATATATCCCAATTTATTGACTCACTCCCAAATCACCTTAAAAGACACTTTTGCAATTTTTAAATTATGTTAAGGAAATCGTTTGTTTACGTTTATTTTATTTATTTATCACATTTTTATTGTCTGAAATCGTCGCGCTGTTGCGTATAAATTTGATTGATTGAAGAAAGATTATAATTATAATAACAAAAATATTTTTTTAAAGGAGCAGATTTTTAATTTTGGTATTTAATGTGGGAGGGGATATAGCTTATCGTGCTGACCAGGGATGTCACGGGTTACCCGAAACCCGAAACCCGGACTTTTTTTCGACCCGAAACCCGAAACCCGACCCGAGAAATTTTCGAAAACCCGACCCGAAACCCGACATTTTCCTTGGAATTTTATTACAAAAAGGGAAGATTTTTGGCTCTTTGGCCTTCCAAAATTCCCAAAATTTTCGCCTGCGGCGCTAGAAAATGAAGAAATCTAGTGGGTTGGTCTTCCAAAATTCTCAAAATTTTCGCCTGCGGCGCTGGAAAATGATGAAATCTAGTGGGTTGGTCTTCAAAATTTCCGAAAATTTTCGCCTGCGGCGCTAAGAAATGTTGCCGAATTTGGGCACGATTTTTAAGGATCATGATGGTTTGTGGAGGTATCTATGGGAGGTATCTTCGGTGGAAGGAGGTATCTTCGGGGGAAGATAAAAAAATCAAAAATTAAAAATGTGGGCGTGATATCGCGTGGGACGTTTTCCGTTGGGATTTTTACCATAAAAAGAAGAATTCTGGCCTCATGGCCTTCCGAAATTTGCAAAATACAGAGTAATTTTGCCGTGATGTCGAAGGAGCAAGAGTGGATGAAGGGTGATATCGGGGGATTTACTTGGATTAAGGTGGATTCAGGGAGATATCGGAGGGTTTAGAGGTGTATCTGGGATTTCACGGTATTTGCAGAGGGTCTCGGAGGTTTAAGGTATAAATCATGGATTAGACATCTTCACCAGATACTTTTAAATGCCTTTATATCCCTTTTAATCCCCAAATCCCCTGATATTACTCTTAATCCATCCAAATCCATTTAATCCCTGTCTCTTATTATATCACTTATATATTATCTTATTAAGCCCGCAAATCACTAATATCCCCAACCTCTCCGAAAAATTTGGCTTCATGTTCAAATTTTTAACTGACCCGACCCGAAACCCGACCCGAGACCCGAAACCCGGACTTTTTTTCGACCCGAAACCCGAAACCCGATCCGAAGAAAATTTTGGAAACCCGACCCGAAACCCGACCCGACTTTTTTCTCAACCCGTGACATCCCTGGTGCTGACCATTCTGATTCTGTGGAATATGCAAATAAAAATGTTGTTATCTATATAACTATAGCTGGTAATAGTTTTTTGGGAAGTAGAGATTGTTATGGAAATATTACAAATGAATTTAGAAGGTTATATTTATTAGAATATATCAAATCAATCTAATTTTTAAATAAAAATTTTCTTCTTTCAGTTGTTATCCACAAACGAGTAATTTACTTACACGAATAGGAGATATATGTGGACAAGAAGGTGGATATAATTCAGAATCTGTAGGCCTTCGCGCAGTTGTTAAAAATTTTGAATTTGGGGTTGCAAGTTCACTCCCTTCTTATGCTTTAAAAGACGAATTATTTAATTGTGATAATTCAACGGCTAAACGTTGGCGTGTTGTAATTGCTCTTTTTCAAGACTAGTTGGGAGTGGGAATAAATAAATGAAAAATAATATTTAAAAATTTTTAGTTCAGCAGCTCAAACAAAATTTTTAGAAAATTATGTTAGCAATTTTACTAGGTTTTTATTTTAAATTTAATTTTGAATATATTTTAATTAATTAAAGAATAAAATCAAAGGGAAATGGAATGTTTATAACTTGTAAAAATAACTCTACATTATTTGCTTCTGAACAAAATTCTGAAGAAATTTGGGGAGAGTTTTTAATCCAATCAAATAAAGATGGCACAATTTCATTTAAATCAAGAGTAAATCAAAAATTTGTTTCTGTTGACTTAAAAAATGGAGGAATTTTGATTTTGGGAAGCGATATAGTTAAAAATGAACAAAAATTTATTTTTGAAAGGAAAGGAAATGAAGAAGAATATACAATTAAATCTAAAATTAATAAAAAGTTTGTAACTGTAAAACTAGAAAAGAATGGAATTTTAATGGCAGACATGGAGAATGTTAAGGGACTAAATGAAATATTTGAATTTAATACTTTTATATCTGAGATAGAAAAGAATGAATTATTGAGGTACTTAAATTTTGAATACGGAGAGAACTATTTATAAGATACTACATAATAGATAGACCCTAGTTTAAGTTACCTTTTTAAGTTTGATCATGGTAATTTTTAACAACTGACTCACAAGCTCTTTAAAATCATCTATCAATTGTATATACAGTCGTGGAAAAAAGTATGGAAGCGCTAGAAAATTTTTATTTAATTCCTAATTTTTCATTCAAAAAATACGTTCTATATACCAATCGAAAGCTCTATTCGTATCTCAGTTGACATGTTTCTGCATTTTTCATGAAAATGAAAATTGGCCGAGATAATCCGGATCTACCGGATATACCAAATCCCATTTTTTCGGAAAAATTTTTCGGAAGAAATTTAACAAACCCATTTGATAAAGCATATTTTTCTGAGTATTTTCCACAAAACCGCTTAGAAATATCTTTTTCCGGAACAGAGATATGATTTTCTGAAAATCGTATTTTTCGTCAATTTTTGCAAAAAATTCGATTTTTAAGGGAAAAATACGATTTTCAAAAAATCATATCTCTGTTCCGGAAAAAGATATTTCTAAGCGGTTTTGTGGAAAATACTCAGAAAAATATGCTTTATCAAATGGGTTTGTTAAATTTCTTCCGAAAAATTTTTCCGAAAAAATGGGATTTGGTATATCCGGTAGATCCGGATTATCTCGGCCAATTTTCATTTTCATGAAAAATGCAGAAACATGTCAACTGAGATACGAATAGAGCTTTCGATTGGTATATAGAACGTATTTTTTGAATAAAAAATTAAGAATTTAAAAAACTTTTTCTAGCGCTTCCATACTTTTTTCCACGACTGTATAAATTCTTGATGAGTGGTTGATCTTGATCCAATGATTAATCCAATTGATCAAATTGATCCCATTCAATCAATCTTGATAATCTTAATCCAAAAATCTTGATCCCAATACATTTCCGTAAACGGGAGTGGTCTATTAAACAACTTTATTAAAATTATTTTTTAATTAGTTTTCCAAATGTTGTTAATGAAGATAATGGTGTTTATATTTCCCCTGTTTTTGGAATTTTTGCTCTTTTTGGCACATTTGTTGGCTTTGTTGCTATTGGATTAATGTTTGATATTAATTAATTAATTTTTTAAATTCAAAATTTTTTTTATTTCTTTAGGGGATTCTCAATTTTGGTTATGAATAAAGTTAAAGATAGAAGAGGTGATCTAAGTTTAAGAAAACAAATTTACTGGTTTCTTCGAATTCGAAAAGGATTGTTAAATAGAATATTGGATTGTACAGCCATAGATATTGAATATTTAATTTATTCTGGTAATTTATTTAATGGGAATCTTATATAAATAAATATTTAAAAGGTCCAAATTCTCGTGTTTATTTCGGTCGTTATCGTTATTTAGAAGATGGAGTAATGGATGTTGTTGTTAAAGTTCCTTCGAAAGAAGCATTCCGATTAGATATGATAATTGAAGAAACAAAAATAAATGCGCAATTAAAACATGAAAGAATTGTTGAATATATTGGTTATTATAGAGATGCTTTTAATGATATGAGAATTGTTAGTGAATATATGCCTGGGGGTGATCTACATTCGTTTATTAGTTCAAGAAAAAATGTTAAAGAAAAATTATTTAAAATTTAATATTTTATTTTGTAGATTTTAACTGTTGGACATATTTTTAATTTTATTGGCCAAATAGCTGAGGGAATGGAATATTTATCTTCCAAAAAGATAATACATAGAGATTTGGCTGCAAGGAATTGCATGTTTGATAATTTATTTAATTAAATAAATGTATAAAAAAAGTCTAATTATCGGGCTAGTCAATATTAAGCATTATAAACAATAACCTCTATTACACTTAACTCTTAGTATTTAAAAATTTCACGCAAAAATGAGCTGAGGATTTTTTGGGGCCTTTCTCATTCAGTAGCCAGCAAAATTCAAAATTTTTTAGTAAAACCAGAGAAAAGAAGCAATGATGTCATATTTCTCTCATTTCATATTTTTTATTAAAAGGTTGAATCGTGATTGTACAGCTATTAAAATAGCTGATTTTGGATTAAGCCGACATTTCAATGCAGATGCAAACTATACTTGTTCAAGTCCTGTACGTTTACCTTTGCGTTGGACAGCTATTGAATGTCTGGGACAAAATGGGGAAATACTTCCATATAGCAAATTCTCTGAAAAAAGCGACGTTTGGTCATTTGGAATTGTTATTTGGGAATGTTTTTCTCGTGGAGAAATGCCTTATGGCACAGAAGAAGTTAGAGACGTCTTACCAAAATTGAAGTCAGATTGGCGACTTCCCCGCCCTTCTCAATGTCCAGCTGGACTTTAGTTTGTTAAAAAAATTATTTAAAAATTATAACTTTTTATTTTTTCAGTGGACTTTTGGTTTTAAAATGTTGGGATATATTTCCAGAGAAAAGGCCAAGTTTTTCTGCAATTTGCATTTCTTTAGAAGAAATATTTTCACTTTTAATTGTTGAAGAGCCAGATATTGTTGTTCGGGAAATTATTTAAATAAATTATTTAAAGATTCCTTTCAAGTTTTTCTTGAAAAGATAAAAAAATAAAATACCTATATTTGATTTATTCGTGCAAATTTAAGAAAATTATATAAGGACACTATTTTTATAAGTAAAATTTTCTATTCCTAACAATCATTTTTAGCAGAGAGGGGACCTAAAAGTTACTTATAATTTTCCTGGTATTTTTACTTAGGAAAAGTTTTCATATTTATTGGATTTTCTAAAATGGGGCTTTTTTCCTAAAGTAGTTACAAAAAATTAATTACAAATGCATATTAACTCAATTAAAAAAATTTTTTATAACAAATTCTTTAAAAATCATATTTTATTTTAAAAATTTATTTATTTTATGTCAATTTAGTTTATTCTTTATCTTTAATTTCCTTTTTTAAGACATCCTTACTTTTGCTTTCTTCATTATTTTGTGTTGTTTCACTTTCTGTAAATTTAAGAAAATTAAAAAAAATTTTTTTGGAAATTTCAATTTATTATTTTTAATGATTTTTCCACCTTTATTTTCAACATTACAAGCAGAAGAGAAGAAATTAGTTAAATATTTCCAAAACGATTCTTGTTTTTTAATTTTATTTTTTAATTGTTTTTTGTTATGTTCCTGTGTTATACTTATTGCTTCAATTCTTTCTTCAGATTTTGTTCTAATTTCTTCTTGTTCTTGTAAAGCTTTTTCTAAAATATTTGCTCGATGCTCTATTTCATCAATCTTTTTTAAAGTATTTTTTTCTAAAATATAAAATTTTGTTTAAATTTTAATTAAAAATGAATAACAAATTGTTATTTTAAATTTAAATAATACCTTCTTCATTATCCATTTTAATTAAAATATCTGAATATTTAAAAAATAAATTTAAAAATAAACCGATTACTGTAAATGTTGAAACTAAATAAAAAAATAAATGTATAGTTTAAAACTTTAAATATTTCAAGATTGGAAAATCTTTAAGAATATTTTTATATTTGATTTAATTATAGAAAATTTTATTTATAATTATTGTAATATTTAATATTACATCAGAGAAAACCTTTCTTTAGATTTAAATAAAGTAAATATTTTGTTCATCCATTCTACTAAAATATTTCTTATTTTGATCATTTGATGCATTCATCCACACAATTTCTTGACTCCATTGACGACTTTTCCGACAACTCCTCCAACTAATTTGAATAAATAAAAATTAGATTTTGATTCTTTTCCAAAAATAAGTAAAGGTATCAACATTTTATAACTTTCTTGATTTTATTTTATCTATATATCAATACTAGATAAAAGATAAAAATTTTAAGGGCCCATATCTTTCAATATTTTATCAATCCGCGTAAAACATTTAAGACGTCCAAGACTCTTGGTCTTGAGTCTTGACTCAGGAATTTTATTGTGTCTTGGGTTTAGTCATGGTTATTGATGCTCAGTCTGGTCTTGAGTTTCAGAAATTTTTAGGTCTTAGACGTCCTTCGAAAAAAATAAGTTTTCTACCTATGCCAGTGACCAATGATGCACCTAGTGACTTTAAACCATGCCAAAGATCCTTCCAAAATGATGATCCGCTATCGTCGATAATTTTTCTCAATTTTCTGTTTTCCTCCTCTAATTGGTCTATGCGCTGATGAAGTCTCGCATTAGATTCAGCCATTTCTTGCAGCATATTTTCCATAGCAATCAGTCGATTACTTAACACATCAAGGAATTTTAAAAGATCTCTTCGTTCTAAAATAGGAATTATAATATACATATAATTTTAATATAAATGTTGTGTCTCACCTAAACAAAAATAAGAATTTTTATACCGCCTCGAACTAATCTAATACTGAAATTATACCTTCATACATAGTTCTTCTCAACCTTCTAGAGTAAATCTTATCTAATTTATTTTAAATTAATCCCCGCCATAAACTTTAGGCGGATTTTTTAAAAAATTGTACCTTGCACACTATCCATGGCTTTTAAAGTAAATATTAAGCTTGAAATTAAAGTATTTTTCTGAAATTAAATAAAATATTTAATAATTATTAACAGAATTACAGATAATATTTGTTACTTGACTATTAATCAAGATGGAAAAATTGTAGAAAATGATCATATTTATTTTATTATGAAAAAATAATTTGTTTATACATATTATTAAGTAGTATACATATGTATGTATAATACTCCTGATTTTTAGACAATGTATTAGGATAAGGAAAGAAAATTAAATTTTATCCTAGAATTCGTTATTACATTCAATTAATTCAAACATTACTATAGACCAGAGGTGGATCGGAACAGTCCGAGGTGTCGGAAATCGGAAGAGCCGGAAATCGGAACTGGCTCAAAAGTCGGAACTTGGAAATCGGAAATCGGAAGGAAAAAACGTCGGAAATCGGAAGCCCATTTGATAAAGCATATTTTTCTGAGTATTTTCCACAAAACCGCTTAGAAATATCTTTTTCCGGAACAGAGATATGATTTTCTGAAAATCGTATTTTTCGTCAATTTTTGCAAAAAATTCGATTTTTAAGGGAAAAATACGATTTTCAAAAAATCATATCTCTGTTCCGGAAAAAGATATTTCTAAGCGGTTTTGTGGAAAATACTCAGAAAAATATGCTTTATCAAATGGGTTTGTTAAATTTCTTCCGAAAAATTTTTCCGAAAAAATGGGATTTGGTATATCCGGTAGATCCGGATTATCTCGGCCAATTTTCATTTTCATGAAAAATGCAGAAACATGTCAACTGAGATACGAATAGAGCTTTCGATTGGTATATAGAACGTATTTTTTGAATAAAAAATTAAGAATTTAAAAAACTTTTTCTAGCGCTTCCATACTTTTTTCCACGACTGTATAAATTCTTGATGAGTGGTTGATCTTGATCCAATGATTAATCCAATTGATCAAATTGATCCCATTCAATCAATCTTGATAATCTTAATCCAAAAATCTTGATCCCAATACATTTCCGTAAACGGGAGTGGTCTATTAAACAACTTTATTAAAATTATTTTTTAATTAGTTTTCCAAATGTTGTTAATGAAGATAATGGTGTTTATATTTCCCCTGTTTTTGGAATTTTTGCTCTTTTTGGCACATTTGTTGGCTTTGTTGCTATTGGATTAATGTTTGATATTAATTAATTAATTTTTTAAATTCAAAATTTTTTTTATTTCTTTAGGGGATTCTCAATTTTGGTTATGAATAAAGTTAAAGATAGAAGAGGTGATCTAAGTTTAAGAAAACAAATTTACTGGTTTCTTCGAATTCGAAAAGGATTGTTAAATAGAATATTGGATTGTACAGCCATAGATATTGAATATTTAATTTATTCTGGTAATTTATTTAATGGGAATCTTATATAAATAAATATTTAAAAGGTCCAAATTCTCGTGTTTATTTCGGTCGTTATCGTTATTTAGAAGATGGAGTAATGGATGTTGTTGTTAAAGTTCCTTCGAAAGAAGCATTCCGATTAGATATGATAATTGAAGAAACAAAAATAAATGCGCAATTAAAACATGAAAGAATTGTTGAATATATTGGTTATTATAGAGATGCTTTTAATGATATGAGAATTGTTAGTGAATATATGCCTGGGGGTGATCTACATTCGTTTATTAGTTCAAGAAAAAATGTTAAAGAAAAATTATTTAAAATTTAATATTTTATTTTGTAGATTTTAACTGTTGGACATATTTTTAATTTTATTGGCCAAATAGCTGAGGGAATGGAATATTTATCTTCCAAAAAGATAATACATAGAGATTTGGCTGCAAGGAATTGCATGTTTGATAATTTATTTAATTAAATAAATGTATAAAAAAAGTCTAATTATCGGGCTAGTCAATATTAAGCATTATAAACAATAACCTCTATTACACTTAACTCTTAGTATTTAAAAATTTCACGCAAAAATGAGCTGAGGATTTTTTGGGGCCTTTCTCATTCAGTAGCCAGCAAAATTCAAAATTTTTTAGTAAAACCAGAGAAAAGAAGCAATGATGTCATATTTCTCTCATTTCATATTTTTTATTAAAAGGTTGAATCGTGATTGTACAGCTATTAAAATAGCTGATTTTGGATTAAGCCGACATTTCAATGCAGATGCAAACTATACTTGTTCAAGTCCTGTACGTTTACCTTTGCGTTGGACAGCTATTGAATGTCTGGGACAAAATGGGGAAATACTTCCATATAGCAAATTCTCTGAAAAAAGCGACGTTTGGTCATTTGGAATTGTTATTTGGGAATGTTTTTCTCGTGGAGAAATGCCTTATGGCACAGAAGAAGTTAGAGACGTCTTACCAAAATTGAAGTCAGATTGGCGACTTCCCCGCCCTTCTCAATGTCCAGCTGGACTTTAGTTTGTTAAAAAAATTATTTAAAAATTATAACTTTTTATTTTTTCAGTGGACTTTTGGTTTTAAAATGTTGGGATATATTTCCAGAGAAAAGGCCAAGTTTTTCTGCAATTTGCATTTCTTTAGAAGAAATATTTTCACTTTTAATTGTTGAAGAGCCAGATATTGTTGTTCGGGAAATTATTTAAATAAATTATTTAAAGATTCCTTTCAAGTTTTTCTTGAAAAGATAAAAAAATAAAATACCTATATTTGATTTATTCGTGCAAATTTAAGAAAATTATATAAGGACACTATTTTTATAAGTAAAATTTTCTATTCCTAACAATCATTTTTAGCAGAGAGGGGACCTAAAAGTTACTTATAATTTTCCTGGTATTTTTACTTAGGAAAAGTTTTCATATTTATTGGATTTTCTAAAATGGGGCTTTTTTCCTAAAGTAGTTACAAAAAATTAATTACAAATGCATATTAACTCAATTAAAAAAATTTTTTATAACAAATTCTTTAAAAATCATATTTTATTTTAAAAATTTATTTATTTTATGTCAATTTAGTTTATTCTTTATCTTTAATTTCCTTTTTTAAGACATCCTTACTTTTGCTTTCTTCATTATTTTGTGTTGTTTCACTTTCTG